AGGAAAAAGAGAGAGAGTTTAAGGATTGAAATTTAGGGATTTCTCGATTTAGGAATTTGGGGTTTTCAAATTTAAATAACTTTCTGATGGATTATCAATGAAAATTTTGGTAGTTAATAACACATTTTATTTATTATTTATTTTTTACAAAAATTTTTATCAATGAAAATTTTTGTCGATAAAATATTTATTGATGGAATTTTTTGTCACTAATTCTCAAACCAATTCATGTCAAATATGTACTTAAGGAATTTCGACAAAATGAAATTTGTCAGTAAATTTCATTGATATTTTGTTGGTATTCTGTCGGTGATTTTGGATTTGTTTTTATAATTATGTTTCATCAGTATTCCATTGGTAATTCTATAATTTTTGGTAATGGAAATGAATGACAATAGGTTTTATATCTTTTGGCTAACAAATAGGGATTTTTTATTTGGATTTTCTTTTCATTTTTTTTCAAAATTTTTTTTCTAATTCTAATTATTAATAATTTCAAATTTAGTTGTTAATGTTTTTTGGAAAAAAAAAAGGAAATATAATCTTGAAATTTGATGTGGATTAAAATATATGGCCAGGTGGCATGTTATTTAATCCATGTCATAATAGGTTACAATATTGCCAATCAAAATGCCACACAAAATAAAGTCAACAACTACACCATCAAGACAATAACCACGTTAGTATTTTTAATGGCAAAAATTTTATAGAATTAGTAATTGGAATAAGATTATCAAATCAAAAATAGTATAAGAACTACATTTGTATGAATTATACTAGATGAACTAAATATCAAATTTCGATAAAGTATTAGGACTATTTGCATAATTTGACCAACAAAACTTAATAGAACTAATCCATACTCAATGTCAAATTAATAGATTAACTGATAAAGGGATAATAATTATATTGAGAAACTTATCATGGATAGGACCTTTCTTAATAATTATGAGCCATTGCTAGATGACAACCATTGCTATAAATATAAGATTGTTTCATTAGAGAATTAATGATAAATTCAAAAAAGTTTAATTTATCTAATTGAAATTAATTATGAATTACAATATTTATATTTATTGCCAACATATTAAAAATTTTAATGGGTCACACACATATAGAATATAGTTTGTGAAATATTAAATTGAAGTGAAATTTAGTGTGAGTTAATTAAATGAAATTGGAAAGGACTAAATTAAAATCAATTAAAAGTTCTTTTGAGGTTAGCTAAGTATCCTAGTCTTTATTTGAAATAGGACATGGTTGGCCAAATCCTTTTATTTAAAGAGGCCTAAGCCACCCTTTCTCAATAGAATTATTCTTGTCACCTTTTATTATGTGTTGCAAACTCTTGAGATAAAACTAGAGTGTTTGAAGATTCTGTTAGCACAGAATTTTGGTGAGATATTTACCTTTCATGTGAAGGTTCTTTCCTCCTTGTTCATATGGATTAAACATTAGAGATTAAATTATTAGATAGCTGTAGGTTTACAACAACAAAGCTTGGTGGTTCTTTTAAATTGCCATACAACTACCCAAGGTTTGCAAAATTTGCCAATTTGGTTCTTTATTGGGTAGTTACTTGTCAACTTGATTCTAAAGTTTGAAAGTTGATAAAAATTTTAAATTTTTGATACCTAAAGTATGTTTAATACATTATCAATTCCCAACATCAACTTGACCCTTAGCTCTTTTAATAAGATTTCTAAGTTGACTAGTAGTGACCACTTTGTTGACTTTTTTTTTTTAGAATTCTTGACAACTTTCTTGTTGGAATTCTTACTATCATCTTGAGGATTGAGTGATGATTTTAATTTGAAATCCCTAATACTTTTAGAGTGAGATTGCTAATCTTTTATATCATGGAGGCAATTTAGTTATCTTTTTATTTGATGTTTGTTACAAGAGACTCCATAATTTTTGTAAAGAGCACGACTTATTCTTCCAATGATGTAGTTTCAGTTGTTATGATAAACATTATTCCAAAATCTTCTTTTGAAGGAGATGATAGAATAGAGTTGTCTAGAGATGATAATGGGCATTCTATAAACGAGTACTTGGAACCATTTAATCCTATAAAATAGGATTAGGGTATCTTATAATAAAGTTTGGATAGTAAAATTACTACCCGTCACAAGTTTAGGCAGTAATCTTAAGTTACCCACTATTCGAACTTGATTATAAATAATATTTTTTTAATATTATATATTTTTTATTTATAAATTATTTACTATTATTATAATACTTAACTAAATTAATTCATTAAATATCTTAATTATGATTTTTAATTTTAATTTATTTTTATGAGTTAATTTTAAATTTTTCATAGTTTAATTTTTGAGATTTTGGAGAGGCTTTAAATTTTGAAAATATTTTTTTTTCAAAATTACGAATGTAGACACCCTACTTGGTCCGAGCCCAAATTAATTGGACCTAGCTCAATAGAGTCCAGTTATTGGGCCCAATTAGCCTTTTTTAAAACTTTTTTCTTATTTTTATTTTTTAGTTTTTATCTTTTGCTGGTTGTTCGTTATTTGTTTGCTTTTTCTTTGATTTTCCTTTTTGTGGGATCATAGTGATAATAAAAAGGATAATAATAAATAAAAGGAAGGTTATGCCATGGCTTGGGGCGGCAAAGTTGTAAATAGATTCAATCTATTAAAGATAAATTTATTAGAGATAAATTGTGATAATTTTGTCAAAGAATGAGTTATAATCAATCAAAAACTCCTTTGATTTTTGCCCTATAAATAGATCCACAGATCAAGCACAAAAAGAACACACAGAAGAAACCATAGAAACACAGCAAGCATAAAGCAGTTAAAAAAAATTTTGAAGATTTTTTTTTGGTTTAGAAAAAAAAGATTTTTTTTTTGGAAAATTCGAGATTCTAACGAAAATTTTTAGTTTTCGATGAATTTTTCAACGCTGGTTGAATTTTTTGGTGAACTTTCTGGCCCTGATTGAATTTTTCGGTAGGTTTTTCAAAATTTGATTAAAGATTCAGGCACCGGTTAATTTTTTAATGAACTTTCAATGAACCAACCCAGATTTTGGTGCTATTTTCTAGAATTCGATGAAGATTCAACCGGAGTTCATCCAATTCTAAAGGGAGGGAGAGAAAAGAAAATGGAAGAGAAAAGAAAGGGAAAGAGAAATCTAAGAAAAAAGATCAGGTTCTACATTTTATATCGGGTCAAAAATGATGTCGTTTTAGCCTTAAGAAACTTTCAGGATCCACATGTTTTTATTCGGATTGACCCGACCTGAGCGTAACCCACTCTGTCGAACCGTGTCCCAAAACGAACTTTTCAGTCGAGCCACACCGAGTCATTTCTATTTTTTTGATATTTTTAATATTTTATTCAATATTTTATTTATATATTTATTTTTTTAGTACTTTTGTATGATTAAATTTGAGAAAAAATAAAAAAAAAATTCGAGAATAAATAATAATTATCCAGTGATAAAATTTTAAAATTTTCAAATGGTAAATTTTTATAAAATTCCTAGGTGAGAAATTTTCTCTAAATTTGTCTCAAATTATAGAATGATTTAGATAAAATTTCAATAACAATAATTAATATTTTTTTTCAAACAAAAAAATATAAAATAAAAAAATAAAAAAAATTTAACAAAATTTTAAAATTAAATACAAATTACCCAATGATGAGATTTTTAAAAATTTCAAATGGTAAATTTCTTAAGAAATCTCTAGGTGAGAAATTTCTCTAAATTTGTTTCAAATGGTAGAATAATTTAGATGAAATTTCAATAAAAATAATTGTATTCTTTTTCAAATTTGGTTGAAAATATTCGATAACTATCTAATGATGATATTTTTAAAAATTTTAAATGGTAAATTCTTAAGAAATCTCTATGTGAGAAATTTCTTTAAATTTATCACAAATAGTGAAAGAATTTGAATGAAATTTCAAGAAAAATAATTATCATATTATTTTCTTTCCAAAAAAAATTAAAAGAATTTCTAAATAGGCCTAAATGATGGAGAATTTAGAAATTTAAAAGAGAAAATATTTTTAATTTAGTCCAAATTATGAAATAATTAGATATATTTTTAATAAAAAATAAAAAAATAATTAAATATTTTTTCAACGACGAAGCCTCTTCGAGAAAATAAATGGGATCCTTGAATATTCCTGAGGTGAAAAAATATTTTTAAGAATTCTGTCAGATTGATGGAGAGTCTTAAGAATTATTTCTAATATTTAACATAAAAACTTAAAACCATTAGAACTAAGATCCTATGATAAATTTAAAATAATATGATACCATCTTTCGGATGGGCATGTGGGGGTGCTATAACGTCTTCATATATAACCAAACTCTCAAATCCTGTTCTGATTTGTAGACCTGAACTTATTCTTTTAAGGATCTTTAGTCAAGCTTAGAAGCTTTTCAAAATGATACATTTCTTAGGTGATCGATCACACTTAGATAAAAAATATTGGTGATGACTCTTTTTGTTAAGTCTAACTATAAATTTTTAGATCTATATGCTACGACAACGAATTATGTAAAATAATATAGAACAATATCATATTTATAATGTCAAACTCCTAGATGATAGAAAGTTCTAAAAGAACTTGACTTCTTTAATTTTATCTCTAAATTATTTTATTAATTGAAGATAAAAGATCGGGTGAAATTAATTGAGTGACCCATGAATTTTTGAAATTTGATTGGTTAAAATTTGAATTTATCTTTAAAGTATTCAAATTTGATTTATAGATAAATTTTGATAAGCTTAAACCATAACACTTTGAATTTTAATTAACCAAACCAAATATATTTATCTTCTATTGCTAAATAATATATTCAATTAATCTAAAAATTAATCAGTTAGTAATTAATTGTATAATGATCTACTTAAATGATGTCTTATATCCAACAGGACAATAAACAATTTATCATTAGAAAAGTCTTCAATTATCTAATTAAATGAAATTTCAATGCACAAGTAACATTTTTTCATATTGGAGAAAAAAATTTCTCCTATTAGCAAGAGCAAAATTTTGATTTAGAAAAGCTAGAGATTTCTTCACTTGTCCACATTTATAAATTAGTCCATTAGGAGAAAAACGTGCTGTAAAATGTTACATCCAAGGTGCAATTGAATCGCACGTAGCTTCAGATAATCCTGAAACAGTCCACCGTCTATTGTAGACGTTAGCGGCGCATACCCCAGAAGGATGATAGCAACAATAATAATAGTATAAGAAAATGCCACCTAATGATAAAAGCTCTCCCCTTTCAGCTACAAATAGAATGGCCATCACTACACAACAAGAACTCCGCTTTCAGCAACGAATAGAATGGCCATCATTATACAACAAAGGTGCTTCTATTCATCTTTTAGAATGGACGTTCAGAATAAACTTCAAGATACATAGCGAATGTATTTTGCTGTGAAAACTAGTCATATTGAGTCCCATATCGACATCTGACTTCATTACCTTCTATAAGTCTCTCCACAGCATCCGTAGGAAGGCCAATCATCTCCAGTGTCTTCTCCCACACTTCAAACGATGTATTGACATTGTGTGCTTCTTCAGAAGGATTTGTAGGATGACAATCTTGAGAAATGAATGCACAAACAGGCCATTCATCTGCTTTCAATAACTCACAGTACTCTGGTATCTGGGGATCTGTTGCTGAGAAAAGAGCACTCCTAGAACCTGCATTGATATTGAATGACCAGAAAAATTAGCTCCCAATTCCCCTTATCCTTAAAGTTTCTTTATTTGTGTAATTTGTTTTCAGAATGCGATTTTCTTTTCATCAGACAGCAAGATCTAAATGAAAATTACTTCCACAAAGTTCATGATAAATCTTAAATAAATTGGGAATACAAAATTTTAAATAATTTGAACAAGTTTTACCTTATAATTAATATAGGCATTTAATAAGAAATTATGACAATTTTTAACATCGAACAATGATTAATTAAATTGTGTATTGATATTATTTTTAATTAGTTCTTTATGTTATTGATTTAACCATTGCATTCCAACTATCTATTTTGACAATTTTTTTACTCATTTTTAACATAGAACATTGCAAATTTCACTCAAAATGACACCCTAGTCTAAACTAATGAGGGTCACAATGTTATGAAGCAGCAATGCAAAGAAAATTATTATTCATTTATAGTAAATATGTTTGTGTCAACAAGTTAAACTCAAGGAAGCATAAACTCTTGAAACATGGTGTCAGGTTGGAAGCGAAAGCCTCAAAGATTCAGTCTAGAAATCTGGTCAGTTCAGTTTTCTTCTGCTTTCTAAATTAGAAGTAGAAGGCTTGTGCACATGACCACATTTCTAGATTAGAAGACTGTGGTTGTTCTACTTGAAACAAATCTCGAGAACATCCACCACGGCGCATTGGGAAATTTGTAAAGTCTTTTAGAAGATTCAATATTTAAAGGAGCAGATAAAATGGCAGATGCTACTTTTAGCCGCATCCACACTTTTTATGCGCGGGTGGAAGATGATGGGAAACATTTGATCAAATTTTTTCACTACATTTGGAAGTGTCTTATTCTAAAAGGCTGGGGGCAATATAGTATTTATAGGAAGTCATGTACAAAGATGATCTTATTTATCGAGTTTGATGGTACCCAACTTTTGTGTTTCTAATTCCATCAGGCAACCTTCATTGCCTGAAATTGGACAGTATCACAGTACCTAAATGGTGTTCTTTACTCTTAAGGAAAGAAGAAAACCATGGTGTAATTGTCTTGCTAATAAATTTAACTATAGTTAATAGTCCTTTTTTAAAGTGGGAATAAAAATCTTGCTTCTTCCCATAATTGTAATTATTTTTCTATATAATAAGTTTTTTCCTTTTCAAAATAATATTCATTGCACCAAAATTAAAATAAATTATGCACCTTCTCTTTACTTTTTTTTTTTAATATTTTACATAAATAACATAATATATATATTTTTTGTTTTCTCATAGCATTAATAGATTTACTGATTTAGTTCATTTTCTCATTCAAGTATATTTTTTCTTTAACGTATTTATATTGTAATGGATAGTTTAACTATTAATAAATATTTTTTTTTATTTTTTATTTTAATAATTATTTATACCTTATGAAATAAATAAAATTATTAATATTTACAAATTGTTATTTTTAAACAACATTGAAATTATTGATTTTTCTAACTATTACTATATGGTTGTTTTGATACTTCAAACAAAACAATATTTGAATTTTAGTTATATCAAATACTTAATCTCTAATAATTAATAATTGTTAACCAATCATGATAATTTTAAATCACAGCTAATAACACCAACATAGTAATTAGATCACTACAGCTATTACATTGTTGTGGTGATTTTGGAAATGGTACCAATGCTACCTTAACCTTGTGTTTAACTAGGAAGAAAGGAAAATAAAGGGAGAGTAAATAGGTGAGAAAAGAAAAAATGGATAGGAAGGAAAGTTGATTTTCTTCCCCAGTGCTTAGTATAAAGATGGAAAATAGAAAGAAAGAAAGCAATTAATCGTAAATTATTAATAAAAGGTCAAATTATGCATGAAGTCCATGTAATCTATCAAAATTTAAAATTTAATCTCTTTATTATAATTAATACAAGTTTAGTTCTCATACTATTTTAATTTAATAATCTTAGTGCAATCATTAACACTGTCAAATTTTCTCTGAATTACTGGCATTGCTTTTGACTTGCTAATGTGTCAGTTAACTTTTCTTATCCTAAACCCCCAAAACATTCCGAAACCTAAAACCCAAATAAAAAATCTCAAATTGAAAGGTATTTCCATTTAAGAAGCATTAACGAAAATGAATTGTGCCAATGAAAATTGCAGGCGCCATTTCTCTAAAAACACCCTTCCAAACTCAAAAATCTGAAACCTTGGGCCTTTTTCAAAAGCTTCCCATGGAAATCAGAATTGAGTCTTTGAGATGAGACCTTATGAACCAAATCCATCTAACACCTAATACACACCATTTTCACCCAAATTTTCAATCCAAATTCGACTATGGAAGAATCAGAGAAAACCATGGTTGAACTAAGAAGAGCTCGTGGATTGACCAACTAGCCAAAACCAAAACCATTGTTCAAGAATAACCTATTTTCTCAAACCCATTTTCAGTTCCCTCGGAAACCCACTTCCCAAACTTCCTTTACAATGTCTTTCTTCTTCGGAAGAACCTTCTTTTGAATCCAAAAATCTGCCTTTGGGTATCAATTTTCATGGGTGGAGATGTACAGCAAAGAATTGGTCCACATGGATTGAGAAGATGGCTGCTTTATTTCGATTTGGATTTAAGGTTTCGATTTTTTTTTTCCATTTTCAAACTATTTTAAAGGTATTAATGTAAGTATTTGGCTGGTAATGATTTGGGGGGTTTATGTCTAATTTCATTTTTTTCTTTCAATTATAAAATTATTTAATTTTTTCAGTTAATAATATTTAGAGATTTAATGTTTAGAGAAATATTTAGAGAAAAAAAAGAAAAGAAATAAAGTCGTTAGAGCTAACTTGGATTAAAATGAATGCCATGTGGCATGCATTTTAATCCACATTATCACCAGTAATAATATTAACCAATCAATATGCCACATCAATAAAGTCAACTGACACATTAGCAAGTCAGTAGCCAGGTCAGCAATTTAAAAAAAAAAACTCAACATTGTTAATGTTTGAATTAAGATTATTAAGTCAAAATAGTATGTGGACGAAATTAATATGAGTTACAGTAAAAAAGACTAAATTTCAAATTTTGACAAAATACAGGGACCTTTGACATAATTTCACCTAAATAAAATGATTAATTTAAGTTGAAAGAGTTTCCCTCTCAATTTGTGCAAGATACGTGTGGATTCGGTTGATCTTCTCTTGAATTGATGTTATGATTGGATTACTGTAGATTTCTTTTGGATGATAGTTGTGATCGAGGAGGTGTATAGGCTTGCCTGTGTAGATAAGAAAAAACTGAGAACTAACCCTAAACCCTAAATTAAGAACTAATCCCCAGGCTTATGGCAATTGATAATTAGTTTCTTATGGTTGTATGTCATATATCTACATCACGGATTGAGGATGCATTTGGCATATAAAAAGGTTTTACAAAATTCTAATTTCTAAGAAAAAGTTTAGAAAACAACAATCCAAAAACATTAATTTGATGTGACAATTATTTAAATGATGGTTATATATATGTCAATGATAGAGATGCTTCACAAAAACAATGTGCCAAAGACATTGATAGAAAAAAATTGAAAAAACACGAATGAACTAACATTTGAAAAAACTTACCCTCTTGAGGACTAAAGATGAAATAGGGTATTAGATGATAAGCAGCTTGAACAATTCTCGGAAGATCCCGAGCCTGCATTTAAACAGAGCCACAGGAATAAAATACAGCAATATAACTTCGCTATTGTTTATAACAGAAACATAAAGCCAGAGTGAATCACGAGATAAGGATGATTAAGGAGAAGATAAGAATCCACAACTGAGTGAGATTTGATGGCCCACAAAATATTGGTTGTAATGAACGAAACCACATGCATCAAATAATTTAGACTACCAAATAACTTTAAAACAATATTTACTGTAGTTCCAAAAAAAATTTTGTATAATAAATTGTTCAATTTTATTATTACACAAAACAATGACAGGAGAGCCTCCTGCCTTTACAAATGTCCTCTCAAAGAATGGCTTGTGTCAGAAAAATAGGGCATGTCAGTGCTTAAGGAACCATGAGATAACACATTCATACTTGAAGCCTAATTGCTAATTGAGTGCATATGACTAGAAAATTCCATGTCAAACATTCTAGTTGACAAGGGTCACGTTACTAACAATGACCATGCTATGTAGAAAACAGAGAGAAGCTCTTCAATCAATATTTCCAAAAGCAGATGCTACTCTCATTGGGGTTTTTATGGCACGTTATGGCATGCACCCTTCACTTTACCCCAACACAGTGACTGACACTTTGATCCTCCAAATCACAGGAAAACTCGTACAAAATGACATATACCCATGTTGGAAACTTCTTCTGTAGTCTACATGGATGGCATGTTGATAAGTAAATATAATAAAACGTGTCCTTTGACCGAAAGAAACTCCAACAAGTGGCTATATTCTCACCTTTGGCTATTTGTAAACATGACAGTTAGACATGCATCTACACTTTGAATAGGCACCATGCACTATAACTTGCAAGGCAATTAAAGCTGAATATACATATTGATAAAGAAAATAATGAAACCGTCAGTTTTAAAGCCTTTTGTGCCCATATATCATGTGTGAGCATCAACTTATTAGGCCTTCTTCAAGAAGCTTTGCCTTCGGCATGATCAACAAGTGTGGTTTTTAATGTTCAGCACAGAACTTCACAAAATTTTTTAAGAAATCCTAATACTGATAAGATTTCAAGAATATGAAAGAATATTTAGGCAGTTCGACTTTCATATTTGTATACATATATTTTACACGTATGCAAAAGGAACATTATTGTATTTGCGTGGATCTATGTTTTTCTCCTATAATCACAAAATCCTTTCTTATAAAACAGCAAAATAGTTAACACATCTTCTGAAACAGTAACCACACCAGTCATTCAAAATTTTCATTGTTATATTTTATGTTGACGAAGACAATTAAATGGAAATACACAAACATTCACGTAAAGACCCTTCTAAGGATAAATGGAGAAACTGAAATGCTCTAATAGACTTACAACATTTGTGTGGACAATTCCAGGCGATACACACACAACGTTAACACCAGCTTCAACAGGTAGCCGCTTGTGGAGGACACTACTAAACATAACCTGCAACCAAAGGCCACCAGTTTCATAACTCAGTGTCATAACTACAATGTCATATATTTTACTTCACATCTTAGATGACCGTCCAGCTTTTTGTTTCTAGATGGTTAGTTACTCCAAGTTAACAAGATGAAAAAGCCACAGGACACATTGAGTAGAGAGACCGACTTACTTGTTAAACTAAGTGATCTCCATATTTAAATTAGAGAGTTAAAGTAACATATAAAATTGCAATTATATTGTCTCCATGGGGACATCCCAACTGAAACATTTAATTAGGAGATCTCAAATTCACTCAAGAGAGGATGGATGGGGTTTATAGGATGGGAGAGGATTACCACTCCTTGGCTTTGTTAAACTAAGTGATCTCCCAATTAAATTTAAGCTGAATTAAAGTTAAGAATAAAATTGTAATTAGGGGTGCAAGCGAACCAGTACCTTCACTAAACAGATTGTGAACATGATCAGTTATGGCTTATTTACATTCATTGATGAAGCTTAACAAATGAGTTCAAAAAAATTTTTAGGCTTGATTAATAAACGAACCAAGTACAAACATAGGTAAACTCGGCTCGTTTATGTTTATGAACATGCTGGAAAAGGTGCTCACTATAAAAGCTTGATAAGAACTTGTTTTGTCATTGTCAAGTTATTATCAAGTTATTAAATTTTAACTTTAATGTGAAGAAGGAAAGTATGTTGCCTATAAAAATCCATAATTTAGGCTTTAAGCACTCATCTTTTTCCTAGAGAATCATAATGGGCCCACACATACGACCCACATTATTTGTTAGTGGCCATCTTTGGGCAATGATATTAAAGGAATCTGTTTATAAGTTAAGAGTATTTTGCTATGGTGGCTTCAATTGAGAGTTCAGCATGAACCTAGGGCTTACCCAAATGGTTCACCCACCTACATTAGGAGGTGGATTCATGCAAGGTTGGGGTTTGATCCCCAACACTTGCAAAGTCCCCTTCCCTATTCCCTCTTAGGCGTCGGCCTCCCTTGTACCAAACCAAACAAAAAAAAAAAATTTATAGCTCAGTATGAGCTCATGTTTGGGTTGAGTTAACTCAATTGAACAAATGTTCAGTTAACTCAATCGAACCTAGTCCAACAAAGTTTTTTAAGTTTGGGTTGAGCTTGTTTATGTTTTTAAATTTAGAAGAGCCAAGTATGAACAAAGTGATACTCAGCTTGGATCGTTATGGCTCTAATTGTAATTATTTTGTCCCCAAGGGAAAATCCCAATGGTTGGCTATTGAAACATTTAATTTGGAGGTTTCAAATTCAACTTGTGAGAAGATGCATGAGACTTACGGAAAGAGAGAGGATTACCTATCATTGGCTCAAGGGCTAGTGAACTAAAAACATGGAAAAGATCAAAATTAAGGCAGGGAACAAGATCATGCATGACAAGTCAGTCATTGAAGACCTATGTCTTTACTCTTTGTTATGCAACTTAAGTTTTAGCAATGTAGAACTTTAGACATTTTATTATTCGGAGGCAGAGCAGTAAATTATAAGTACACTTAAAACCTGCTAAGCAATGAAGGAAAGGAGTTAGCTTGATGATTAAAATGTCCCTTGTAACCCAAGTATGTTTTTACACAGAAGCTGCCTATTCTGTATCCACAAGGGAGCCAACAATGTGATGTAAGAACCATAAATCAAGGAAATTTAAAGCCTGCTGACTGTTGAAAAGAATTGAAACAGCTTTTGGTTATACCTGAGCCAGCTTGCTGCTAGTATATCCCAACAGGCTTGAGTATTTTCTTTTCCCAGAAACAGCATTCATGTCTTCTGTATCAACGAAGCCAACATAATGCATCTACAGAAGGGAAAATCAAATTGCCAAGCATAAAAGAGAAATGGAAAGGAATAACATGTGTAAGATATAGACAAATAGCAATGCATCATGCAACAATAACTATTTGCATTTTCAGAAACAATAATAACAATAATTATGATGACTATGACGACAAGAATTAGTGGTTTTAATTAGTGTAGGGGACTCTACCATACAATGAAAGCATAGAAGAAAACTGCACATGAAATAAAAGCAAAGGAAATGACATAGAAAATCTTAACTTCAATTGGAAGACAAATCAAGCAATCACCAAAACAAAAAGCAATCTCACAAACATAATGCTCAGCAAAATAAAATAGTCACTGAAACAAAAGGTACAAATTGAATCTTAGCAACTGTACATTTAACTACAGACCCTTGAAAGGATTCATCTTTAATGTTCTTTTCATACCAATGGCAATTAAGACATTGCTGAAAAGTTTCGTGAGTTCCCCCAGACTACTATTTCACTTATTCACCATCTCCCATATACCCATTCCAGCAAGCCAACATAACAACCAAGATTTTTCACCAGCAGAGGAGAATCCAAACAAAGTAATACGAGAAAGCAATGGTTAGTAGCAAGACAACAGTGCAGCAGAATGCCACCTGTCTCATCATCTTTCCTCTTCTAGGGAGTACAACTCTAGTAAGGGTAGCACACAAGGATTCAAGAGCAATGTGCCCAGGGGCAAAGCTAGGATTTGTGTCTTGGGGGCCCAGAATAAAAATAATAAGAACCTCTTTTGATAATATGATATTCAAATGAAATAGCACTGTGATTGCATAAAAAAAAAAAAAAGAAAGCTTTTTCAGTAAAAAATGTTGAAATTGCAGACACCATAATTCCTATTACAAAAATAGAGGACTGGATAAGGTGATTCAAAATAAAAGTTGAAAGTAATTATAAAGTTACATGAATAAATGATATTGTGTGCAAAATAAAGAAATTAAATTTTCTTTATTGTATTTTATCAGTATAGAAAAACTTGTTTGACATAATGGTTAAGTGTCAAAATGATTGTTTGATTAAGTTAGATCTTACTTTAAGGACTAAAATCAAGCCTAATAAGCAGCATTACAAAGATAAAAGAAAAATCAAATTGATACCTAATTAAGTTTAACAAACTATAAAATTTAACATAATCTGTTGAAGGGGGGAAGTTGTAATTTTTGGTGGGCCAAAAGCAATATTTACTTTTTATCATAATCTGTTGAAAGGGGTCGGGGGAGAAATCTTTTCTTGTAGGATCAGCAAGACCCTTTTCTGGAATTTTCTCTATTTTATTTTTTCAGCTCATCCTGCCTCAACTAAGGTAAGATTAAGAATAGTAATGCAAACTATCCACATTCTGAAGCAAAAAAGCAATTATGCAAGTGCTTCATTTTTAATCAAGCACAAAACTGGCACCAGAGGCAAAAAAGAAAAAAAGAGTTAATATGCCAAATCAATATGCATTCAGATGGAAGTGATAACAGCCTTTGCTTTAGCTTAAATTTCTTTAATAGACTTCAATTATCAGGCACACACGCAAAAGCTGATTTCAAGTGAAGGAAACTTACAACAGAATTGACATTAATGATTCGACTAGGAGATCCTCTAATAAGGGATGGCAAAAGCAATATCGAAAGCAGTGCTGGAGCCAGATGATTCACTTGCATGTGCTCCTCATACCCATCTTTTGAAAACTTTTGGGGTTCTGCATATGGTAAAATTGAGATATAAATTTCCATTTTAGGTTAAAAAAAAAAGCTTAAAATAAATAAATAAAATCCATAAAAAGGCGAACCTCCAATAGAAAAAATTCCGGCATTATTAATGAGAACATGCAATGGTCCAAGACGAGCATTCCAGGCATTAGCAAAAGTGACGACAGAATCCAAGGAGAGAAGATCAAGTTCCATGACCTCAATGTTCAAAGGGAGCCCGTGCCAAGAGGCAGACCATTGATTAATCAAGTCATGAGCTGCCTTTGGATTTCTTACTGCCATTACAACATGCGCCCCTGCTTCAGCCAATTGCCTCGCCATTTCCCTCCCGATGCCGCTGGTGGAGCCTGTCACAACGCAGGTGAGGTCGTTCACGGGCGGCAATGGCAATGGGTTCTGCAGGTGACTCGCCATTATCCTCTGGAAAAGCATTTCGTGAATCACGTACATCCATCCTCTCAACCATTCTATCCAACCCAATCCTTGTTTGTTTTTCGCCATTGGACTTGATGATAAAGATTTCTTCGTTTTTTTTTTTTTTCTATGCGTCTCTGGGATTGAAGATCTGTCCTTTTCTTCGATGCCCTCGGCACTAGTGCAAGCTACAAATAGTACCCTCTCGCCTGCTTTGCACGCACTTATCACAGAGGTGCCAAACTGACACGGTTCGGATAGATTCATATCCGGCCTTTCGAATTTTAATCATTTTAAATTTAGATATTTTTAGGTATGGTAAATTTGGATTCTTACTATTTTGAATATATATTATTTTGAATTTAAATTATTTAAAATTTGATTCAATTCTAATCAAAACGAATTTAAATAAATTTTAATAATTTAAAATTTATAAATTATAAATATATTTTAATTTTGAATATTATAATTAAATTATTTTTTTTAAATAAAAAAATATAATAAAGAAATTAAAATTTTTTAAAAATTAATAAACATTTATATAAAAATAATAAATCATATAATAATTTTATATTTAAATATTGTCTATTATTTTTAAATCTATCTTATAAGTTCAAATGAAAGCTAAATATATAATAAATATATAAGTCTGAAACATCTAATTATAGACATCTTATTTTATTTGAAAATTTTTGAATATTTTAAATTTATTAATCGAATCTAGAGATTAGGTAATTGAAATTCAAGATTTGTTTTGGTTAAATGGGTTTTTAAGAGTTGTTTTGGATCGTTGAATATATATTTGCCCATTTGGTCATTTCCATTTCAAATTGGATCTAGATTTGATAAAATTTGGTTTGTATATTTATTTTTATTTCTTTTTTTATTATATCTTTTCTAATATTTGTTTTAATAAAAATTAAAAAAATCATATGAGAATTGAAATAAAAACTTTTTTAAAAGAGAATTTAATTGATTTAGGAAAAACTTGAGAATAAAAAAATCAAATCAAAATCAATTTTAATTTTGAAAATTTTAGTGAAAAAAAAAAAGAAATCAAAATTAGATCTACGATTTCTCGAATCTCTTCACACTAAAAGAGATCATAGCTTTGATGGTCCTAAATCTCTATATAAACAAGCCTCAATCATAAGCAATTTACACATCACTAGCAATCAACAAAAATATTCAACAACAAAATACACAAAAGAAAGGGGTTGGAAGGTTTTAGTTCTTTTAGTTAGAAATTTTTAGATTTGAGAAATTTGGGGGTTTTAGACATTTATTAACAATAAAGGATAATATGAAGTTTTCCGGTGATTTTAAAATGTGTAGTTGATGATGGCCTGAGTTGTTTCTGGATGGTGACATAATTTACTTTGAATTTAGATTTAGGCTTGTTAAAGGAGATTTCAAAATTTTCAATTTAAAAAAGGAAAAAGGAAGTTTAAAGGATTCAAATTTTTTTTTTTAGTTTTTTTTTGTATTTGTCATAATGGTTTTAAAGCGATTAGACGAATTTTAAAAAAAAGAGTCATCACTAATCTTTTTAGTTAAGTGTGATTGGTAACTTATTGAAATCGATATTTTTAATAAAATCTTAAAATTAATTAAAATTTATTAAAAATATAATTTTGGGTCTATGAAAAAATAAAATCAAATTTGAGAATATGGTTATATGTGAGGAAGGATTAGCACCCCACCCATTTTAAAAATAGTATTAATTAACTATTTGTTATCATTTAATTTTGATAAAAAAGTATTTATTTTGATATTTAATAGTAATTTCCTTAACTTCTTTATTTGTAATAATTTTGTTTTTTATTCTATTTTATTTGAGAAAAATAAACTAGAACCTTATTATTGAAATAATTCTTAAAATTTCTTAGTACGTTGGTAACATTAAAAGAATTTTTTTCACTTAAGGATTCTCAAGTATTATTACTCAGATTACCTTACAATCCCATACTCGGAGGCTTGTGTTTACTTTTCTAAATGAATTTATGCAAATAATATTCATACATTATTATAATTTTATTCTTTTAAAAAAACTCATTTTTTCATTTCTTATTAATTTTTTAATTTAAAAAATAATAAATGAAAACCTTTTTGTATTAAATGTATTTCTAAATGCTACTTTAGTAGCATTTTAGAAAATATTCTCACTATAGATTTTTAAAAAATCACTATTCAAAATTTTTTAATATCTCATTATCTAAAGTTCATGTTTACTTTTCAAAAATTAATGATATGCATATAATGCAAATAATGAAATATTAGTGAACATATGTTACTTATTCATTTTTCAAGAAAATTTTGTTTATTTATTTCCTTTTTTATTTTCACTATTATTATTATTATTATTATTAGAAGAAGAAGAAGAAGAGAAAAGAAAATTTTTATTGTAATGAAATTTTTTTATAAATACTCCAATACGTTGGTAATATTAAAAGAATATTTTTCATCTAGAGATTTATTAAATATCACTACTCGAATTACCTAAAATCTCATCATAGAACAAAATTTTAATTTCCTTCATTTTCATTATTTTTATTTTATTTATTTTAAAAAAAAATTTATTATTTTTTATTTCTTAATGAAAATCTTTTTATATTGAATATGGTTCTAAATACCCGAGTACTTTGATAGTATTTTAGAGAAATATTCTCACTTAGAGATTTTTAAAAAATTACTACTCAAAATTCTTTAATATCTCATCATAAAAAATTTTACATTTTCTTTAATAATTAATATTTAAAAGTTATGTAATAATATAATTATCTATAAATAACCTTACTTCCTAAAAGATGCATATTTTTATGAATATTTTATATTTTTATCTCTTTAAAGAAAATTATTCAAATTAAAGAAAAAATAAAAAATCTTTATATTTAAAAGAGTTTTTAAATATTCTAATACTTTAATAATTTTAAGAATTTTTTTTCACCTAAGAAATTCTCGAGAATTACTACTCGAACTTTTCGGAATCCCAACATCATATATTTTCATTATTATTATTTATTGTTATCTTATAATAACAAATTCATTCACAGATATTTATCCTTATAATCTTTATTTATCATAAAATATGCAACTTTTTTTACATAAAACAAATATATTTTTGACATGAGTCAATAATATTAGGCACATATATAAATAAAAGACAAAGAAATATACCAAATCTTGGATGAAGATGACCCAAAATGAACTAGGCTAGACACTATGATGGGCCACAATGAAGTGGAAGCTTAGGCTAGACATTGGACTAGGTCGTAGATTTAGGTCGATTTGAGGCTAAGCTATTTAGTCGCAAGCTAGATCTTGGTCACAAATTGGGTTGACCCGTCGAGTTCTTTTTTTTTTTTTAAACTATAAAACCATAAGTATTTTTTTACTTCATTTCCTCTTTTCATAAAAAAAAAAAAAAGCCCCAAAGCTCTAAAAAGAAAATCAACCATCCATTACTAACCACCATGCCAATTATCGTTGCCATCACTGGTCAATTTTAAGATGTTGATTTAACTCCAAAATTTATCTCGAAGCTCCTCCTACTCCCCTCTTTTTGTTTTTGTAGTTTTGCTTGAAATCCAACAAAAACTCCTAGATATGAAATCCAAGTTCAAAACTTCAAACCATCGAATACTTCTTTCATACCATCTAATTTGGCCAAGATCGAGATATGTTCTTTTTATCCCTTAGATCTACCTTTTTACCATTGTCGATTAGCTAAAAATCTCTTCGCTTTCATAAGCTCGCTTATGCCACTATTCTTATCACCACTTCTTCCCTTTTTTTTTATGGCATTGGGTTCCTCACGTGAGGACTATGGTTGTTTTGATTTTTTTGGTATGATTTAAAAAGAAAATAAAAGATTCTTTTTGTTTGGATTTGAGGTTAAAAATTTTGATTTTTTCATTTTATTGTGGTTTTTTTTTTACAATGGGGATGAATCTAAGGTGATTTTGTTTGTTTGTTTGTTTGTTTTGTGAGTTGGTTATTAAGGTATAAGGTTATTAAAAATGAAGCTTTGGTGAGAGGTGAGCTCAATTGGGAATGGGATTTTAGGCAATGTGGTTTTTGCTTTAGCTAGGACTGGATTTTAGCTCTTGCTTGAGGTTGCAAATTGCTAGTTTTTGGTTCAGTGAATTGGCAAAAATGGGGTTGATGTTGGTGGAGGTTGTGATTTTAGGGTGTTTTGGTCAAGTAGGCATAGTGGATGGGTTAAACAAGATTAGGTTGTGGTGGATTGGGTGGCATGGACTAGCTGAGATAAGGGGAACTGTTTTGTTTCAAGGATCGATTCTATTGAAGATTGTAGGAGATGGGGTCAGTCGAAGATATGGTAGCCAGTGAAAAGTGGTCGATCTGAGCGGAGCAGAGGTCGTTTGGTGCTATGAATGGGATTGTTAGGATTTGAGGCTTATGTAACCAAAGGGGTTTAAGGTAATGGCTAAACAAGACATGTGAGCCGTTCTTTGTAGGTAAAAGGTGATGGCTGTTAGGGAGGTAGGATTGATGGTGGGTTTTGGGATGGTGTTGAATGGGAGTTACACTTCAAAGAATTTTTTTTTCCTTTTTTTCTCATGCCAATTTTTCTTCCTTCTTAAGTGTATGAATTGTTTTTGTTGTGACATGTAAGCTAATAATAAGGTCTATTTTGCAAGGTAATGGTTATAGCTTTGTGGACTGTTATGGCCAAAATTGACAGCTGCTACCAGGCACTTTTTGTTGTTTTATGTCTTTAAATGTTTATTATTATTTTTTAAGATTTTTATTTTTAAATTTTTTGATTAATCAAAATTAAATCTGGGCTCTGACTTAAAAATGAGTTTTAAATTAATTGCATTTGAGCCATTAATAACATATTTGGATTTTAAAAAGTGTTTTGGGCTAAATTTGGGCTTTAAAATATAATTTAAGCTTTCATAATCAAATTTGGACTTCTTGAATTTTGACTTCAAGCTTTTAAGTCCATATAACCCCAATAGAATTGAATTGGATATAACACATATAAAATGATTCAAAAGCAATTAATCCAAGATAAGCCCGAATGAGTCAATCTAATTAAAATGCTTAAATTGGCCTAAATCAAAATGTTCAAATTAAATGTAAAAATTGAATAAACTTTAATTGACCTGGATAAAATTGGTTATTTATAATTATCCCTCGTTGTACATTACTGAGAATCAAGATAGGGTAAAGATATAGATAATAATATTGCCTAGATTAAAGATTCAAAGTTTTTCAAAAGTTTCTT